TAGACCAGGCTGGTCTCAAACTCAGAGATCCATCTGCCTCTGCCTCCCAGTGCTGGGATTAAAGGCGTGAGCCATCAACCACCACCACTGCCACCATAGCCACAAAGATGTTTTTGAGGATTCTTTTAACTGTTTCAGAACCTGGATATTCCCTTTTAACATGACAATGTCCTTTTATTATTATTATTATTATATGTACGGCTGTTATCAAAGTGACACAGCCCACAGGGGACAGAGAGGACTCAAGGACTCTCTAAATTTGAAGCGAAGTACGTGAACAGTCAGCACACTGATAACAGCAAGCTTTAAGGATTGGGTAACCTCATTGCTGAGCAGCTACAAAACTGGACAGACTTCCAATTACAGGGCAAAAAGTGTATTTAGTGGCACAAAAATGTCACCAAGTGAAAGGAATTAGAGCAATCCTAACCTAAATCCATTTGCAAGCCCAAAGACTCTACTTGAGAAAACTATTGAAAAATACTTATTTCTCAGAAGCTGTGAAAATTAATCATAAAAATTCAAACTTTGGAAAGTATTCCTATATGGTAGGAATCTTGTCTGAGATACGAGTCTGTCTGCTTCATCTAAACTGAGAGTGCCAGGTTCAGAAGCCACGTTTACTCGACTGCTGAGTCCCACTGGCTTCCTGAGGGCCTTTATCTGGAACTGCTAAAGCTTCCTCTGTACTCTGTGACCTAATATGCCGCAGAACAATAGAAGTGGGTTTCCCTGTCTAACCACTATCCTAATATTAACAAGGCAATGTAGCTCGGAGGAGTGCGTTCACAGACACCACTACAGGAATTTTTCTTTTCTTCCCGTCCAGATTTATGCTACAACTCCACAGGCTCTTGTAAGTACACACACATTTCTTAAAAACGATTTGAGAACCATACAGAAAAGAACTAAGCTATAATCTTAGTTTGATCACTTAGCAGCATTTGAGGAAACTGTATTTTCTTCCTTCCCCTAAGCTTCCTAGTGAGGCCCAAATTCTCAGTTTATATAATCAGGGCTCATACAGCAGATAGGGATCTTCAGGAAAAAGGACTCATAGATATGAGATAGATAAAAGGACATCCTTCAGACACAAAGTGGCCCACAATAAAATTCAACGGGGGCAACAAAATGCCTCCGTGTCACCAAGCACCAGGAAAAGCCAGGCACTGGTCATCTCTGCACTCATTCCAGGGGCTGAGGTAGGAGGATCCAGATTTGATGGACAGCCTTTGCTAACCAGCAAGACTCTGCCTCAAAAAATAAAAGGAAAATCTTCCGCGAACAAGGCAACCCACATATTTACATAGTTTTACTGTGAGCCAAGAACCTTCCAACTTCCAATCCTGAGAATGATTCTGAATAACAAAGACATCTTTTTTGTAAGTCAATTTCAATTTTAAAGTTTATATATAAAGGAAGATGCCCTAATGAAGGCCATTCCTTTTGTTGTTGCTGTTTTGTTTTGTTTTTTTTGTTTTTCAAGACAGGGTTTTTCTGCAAGTTTGGAGCCTATCTTGGAACTAGCTCTTGTTGGCCAGGTTGGCCTTGAACTCAGAGATCCACCTGCCTCTGCCCCAGCCTGCCTCACCCTCCCCAAGAGCTGGGATTAAAGGTGTATGCCACCACCGCCCAGCAAAGTCCATTACTTTTCTTATACTAACATAAAAAGTTAATTCAAGAAATAAAGGGCTGGACTTGAGATGGAGAGATGAGTCAGCAGTTATGAGCACAGGATGTTCTTCAGAGGACTTGGGTTCAATTCCTAACACCTGTTCACAATCATCTATGACTACAGTTCCAGAAGTCCTGACACCTTTTGACTGTCTCAGCGGCTGAGAACCCACCTGGGGTACAGACACACCTGCAGGCAAACACCCACAGGTAAATAAATAAACAACAAACAGACCAAAACAGACTAAACAGCAATAATAACAAACACACAACGTTTTAGCCTTTGCATGGGGGAACAAGGGAGCTGTGACTTAAAAGTTCAGCCTTTCCTTTACATTTGTTTGTTGTTTATTTATTTACCTGTGGGTGTTTGCCCACAGGTGCCTCTGTACCCCAGGTGGGTTGGTCTTTTTTTTTTTTTTTTGGTTTTTCGAGATAGGGTTTCTCTGTGGCTTTGGAGCCTGTCCTGGAACTAGCTCTATAGACCAGGCTGGTCTCGAACTCACAGAGATCCGCCTACCTCTGCCTCCCGAGTGCTGGGATTAAAGGCGTGCGCCACCATCGCCCGGCATGGGTTGGTCTTTTTAAGACAGAGTCAGGGAGCCGGGCGGTGGTGGCGCACGCCTTTAATCCCAGCACTCTGAAGACAGAGGCAGGCAGATCTCTGTGAGTTCGAGGCCAGCCTGGTCTACAAGAGCTAGTTCCAGGCAGGAACCAAAAAGCTACAGAGAAACCCTGTCTCAAAAATCAAAAAAAAAAAGTCAGCCTTGGCTGGCCTTGAACTCACTTTGTAGCCTACTTGGTTGGCCCTGATCCTTGCATAGATCCTCCTACCTCTGCCTCCTGAGTGCTCAGATTACACTGATGCACCACTATACCTGATTCAAATATATTCCCCCAGAAAGGCACATCCACCCTTTTACTGAGAATGGTGCTTGCTCCAAGGCACCAGTAAACAGTCTGACCTTTTCAAAGAATAAAAGCAAGGAACCGGAGGGTTCTGTCACGGGCATACCCTTACTGAGGAAGGCTAGCCTTGTCTTGTACAGGTCCCTAGATCATCAGACTCCCCAGTTATGTTTTCAACACATAGCTGCTATCTTATCTACCATGGATGTCAAAGGCAGAGTCTTCTTTTGTAACTATGAGCTCACTAAATGGGATTAATGCAAAAGTTACTTTACATGATCAAAGAATCTCATGGTGGAGTATACAGCATGTGTGAGACCCTGGGTTCACTCCCTAGTACAGGAGAGAGAGGGAGAGAGAGAGAAAGAGAGAGAGAGAGAGAGAGAGAGAGAGAGACAGAGGAGGAAAAAAAAACTATCCCAGTTGTAACATCAATAAGCTACCTAGATGGAGGAACAATCCCACAAATATATGTCTGACATATAATACATCATTTCCACAGTTAAGCTTCAGATACCTGCTAATCCCTTGCCACACATTTAAAGCTATATAGCTAACCTCCAAGATTCAAAATATGAAAGAAAAATCTGCAAAAGTTGATACAAATCACCTGGGTTTTATTTATGTCAAAAGCTGTTTATTTCTATTCATGAGTTCATAATTTTTTTCCGGTTGCTTTGTTTTACAAGACCTCAACAAAACTCAGCTCTCTGAAATTCCAGTATAAAATATGAGAATAGAATAAAAGGCACAGAAGAAAGGCAAACAAACACACTTCTCACTTCTCACTCACACACACACACACACACACACACACACAATTTGTCAAAATACATAAAAAATGATAGGCACAAAATCTTTTGGAAGCTTCTGGAATCCCCTTGACATACACTCTATCCAGTATGCTACTCTAGTGTTAATTTTCTATTTAAATGTCAATATCTTTACATAGCAACATCACTACCTTCCCATATAATCTTTCCCAGCTTCCCTGGTATTTTCTGTAGTACCCATCCTGGCTGACTATCTACTTCTGATGACATTCAGTTACCTTATCCGTTGGATCAGAACAGAGAAGTCACCAAAAAGATTTGATTCTAAGGCGACAGCAGAAACATAGTGCTACACTATATAGTATAATGACATCACTTAAGGCTCAACTGAAGGGCACTCAATGGCATATAACCTGGTGTGGTTCTGGAAACCACTACATCTCTTTCATTGTAGATTTGTTTGAAACACCTGTACTGACTACAGGCAGTTCTGCATTCACTATTATTCCAAAATAACTCCTGACCTGAGATGCATTCCACAGACAGTTACAAGACGGGAAGAGATCGGGGGCTGGGGAGGGGGGGATCTGGGGCTGGGGAGGGGGGGATCGGGGGCTGGGGAGGGGAGATCACACAACAAAGTGAAACTAAGACCTGGGTTTGGCTGTGTCACCTTGAGTATCTCTTTTGATCACCAGGGTTCCAGTCTCCTCAAAGCAAAAGATGAAGAAATTGGACTAAATTCTCTCTACAGTATCTTCCAACCTCTAAAGTTCTTTGAGATTCCAGTATCTCCCCCTTCACTAAAAAGATAAGCAGTAATGATGGGAAGTTAGTCTAGATTTTTTTCCCCCTTAAATTTTCTGAGATGTTTTCTTTGGCTGAAGTTTTTTTTTTAAAAAAAATAAATAAACTCCAAATCAAAACTATATGCAGAAAATATGGAAGAGCTGAGGACTGAAAAAGAGAATCACTCACTGATGCCACTAAAATAGAAATTTCAATTACCCTCAGGCCAATTTGTCAATAGTTACTCAAAAGCTGCTACTCCAATCACTGGTTTCCTAAAGCAAAAATATGTATCGTCATTCCCTTCACATCCCCAGAGAGTCATTCCGAATAACAAATAAATAAATAAACCAACAACCACAGCATCTAAAATCAATTTACAACTTTAAAACAAGTTTCAGGAGCCAAGGAAAGTCCACACAGCTTCCCCAAGTCATTGGTTTCATTTAAGGAATGACAGGAGATAAGAAACGGTTCTTGTTATTAGAGGCGAGAAAAGCCACAACAGGCAGGTGACATCTGGAAAAAAGGAAGAAGTGTCGAGGACAGAAGCTTGAGGGTCCTTGAGGCAACAAGTCTAGAGTGCAGGAAAAGAGTCCCCCAGGGATGTGAGGGAATCCGCCGCTGCCACCCCTCTCCGTCGTCTTCCCCGCCCCCCCCACCGTGTCGCCGCGCCCCCGCCCCCCATCCCACGCCCCTGCGGCAAGAAATATCCCTAGGATCGCTCGTTTCCCGCGGCCTCCTGCCCTCGGCAGGCCTCCGATCCATCGCAGAGGCGGCCAAACCCCGCAGGCCCTCCGTCCCCGCCGCAGCCCCGCAAGACGCAGCGGCCCCGCAGACCCCGGCCCCGCTCACCTGCACCTGTTTGCGGAAGTGGCGCGGCCCGGGCACTGCCGACGGCCAGGAGCAGCAGCAGCAGCAGCACCGGCGGCGGCGAGGACACCGGCGGCCCCGGCATCTCGTAAACCGCGCGGTCCCCTGGGGCCGGCTCTCGGGTCGCCGTCTTCAGTCAGTCGGTCAGTCAGTCCTCAGCGCTGCCTCAGCGACACTGGCGCCGGCTGCTTCGGGACACACGTCTCTTCAGCCAAACTTCAACCTCGTTCCCGGTCTGCATCTGCCGCTCTGGCCGCGGAACCATCATCATCCTTCCCGCCTGTCTGCGCCGCCGCCGCCCCTCAATAGCAGCAACGGCAGCCACCCTGCGGAGCCGCGGGCCCAGGCAGCCGCGCTCCCGCCGCCATGATGGGCTGCGTCATGTGACGTAGGGCGGAGGCGGGACGCCGTGATCGACACTTGGGTCAGCCAATCGTCAATCCATGCTGGCTTCAGAGGCTCCGCCCCCTCAGCCGGGGAGGAGAGGGAGAGATCGCTGCGCCCCCTGCAGACCGAGGACTGCAGCGTGGGCAGCAGGTAACCCCGACAATTACTTTAAAATTTAAATTATAGGACGCCATAAAGAAGACCATAAAAATCCACTTATAATTTAATATGGGACTTTTTTGCTCCATTTTTCTTACTTTTTTTTCTTTGCTTATTTTTATCAACGTGGTTCTCAGCATTTTATCACCCAAAACAGACCGGTTTTGCCTCCTTCAATTTTACTAGGCAGAACTTTCCTAGCCTCTTCACCTTAGGTTGATTCTCGCATCCTATCAGCTTTCGAGGAGCTTTGAACGTTTTAAAATTCAACTAAAAAGAACAGAATGTTTCTGACTTCATCACCCAGTGACGTAGCTAGTAAGCTCAAGCTGGCCCCTCTGCCAAGACAGCCCTTCCTGTCCCCTCTTGTTCCCTGGCAGATACACTCCCTTTCATTCGGCAAGACACACCTGGAACATGACTTCATCCGTGAGGGCTTCACACCAATCCCCCAAACAATTGAATATCTATGGCCCCGCCTAACCCGACCCTGGACCAAAAGCCATGTTTATTGTTCTGTGGCTGTCAGCCCCTTGAGGACAGTCACCTCTCTTAGCCTGAAGTAGGTGTCTTCTAAAGGAATTGTGCTAGATATTGGTGCTGGGGGGCGGAGAGGGGAGCAACTTCCAGGTGGGGAAGAAGACAGCTAGAGAGATTGTTTGCCTTGCTAGCATGAGGACCTAAATTTGATCCCCAGAACATCACTAAAGAAAAACCCCGCCTTGGTGGCGTGTGCTTGCTGGGGAGGCATAACAAGATGGATCATTGGGGTTTGCTGTCAAGCCTAACAAGCCTGCTAGGCAAGTTCCAGGCCAAGAAGAGACCCTACCTCAAGAAAAAGGGGGGACCCTAAAGAATGACACCCAAGGTTGTCTTCTGTCCTCCATACATATACAGAAAGAAACAAAGGTGCACACACATACATGAATTCTCATGCAAACACAAAAGGCATGGAGAAAGTATTTTCAGTTAAACAGGTCTGAGGTCACTTTGTTGGGGGTGGGGAGACCCTCGTCTCTGACTGATGGTCCAGTGTGTGAGGGAGAGGAACTGATTTGCATCTTATCAGAGAGGACATCAGCAGCTGCAAAGATAGAGCTCCCCCCCCCCCCCCATTCTGCAGACTCCCTGGAGCTACCAGCTGTCCGTGGTGCTAACTACAGGACACAGGATGTCTGGGGAACACTTGCTGATGATGATTGAGGCGAGCCACACTAAGCACCTGAGGAAACAAGCAGCTGCTGTGTGGCGCTCCCAGCTCGGCCGCCACTTTCTGCTGGTCTTTCTGTGGGAAAGAGAAGGAAGACAAAGGTCTGGAGAGGAGGCATAATTGCCCTGTTGTGCTTTGTGGTCCATCAGGAAGCTCAGCCCGCTGCATTCAAAGGAAGATGGGAATTCATGCTACAACCTGACAAGAGACTCTGTGAGGAGCAGAACTGGCCCAGGGAAAGCCCTGTCTCATCTAATCCTCCTGGTGATTAATCATAATTAAGATGCACCCCAACAACGTGTCATTATATGATCACAAAGCAGGTTTTGTTATTATTTGAGTAAGCCTCAAAGTTGAAACACACACAAACACACAACTGTTTTTCCCTCGCATGGGCTAAGGTTCACATTCCTCAGAGGCTATTTAATGGAAACCTTTACCCCGGCTCCCACCTCATGGTTTCTACCTTTGCCCAGCACTTGCCTTGAAGACTTCTAGTTAGAGATTTTACAAGACAAATAAAGGCCTGTTGAATTGGTGAAGTTTCTTCAGGAGCGAAAAAAAAGCCAGTGTTTAGCCGAATTTAGGATTAGATTCCCTCAGATCAGAATCAATAATAGTTCAGTGTTTCTGTAACTGTTTGCGCTTGTCTACAGCCTTCTCCATGCCAAGTCATCTTTCAGAAGACCCTCCTGGCACTGTGTGTCCTGCCAGCTAGAACTGGTGGAGGCTTGCGTGCTGTGAAAGATAGGAAGTCTGTTTAGTACAGGGTGTGTTGCAGCTATGGAGATCTGGTACCTTGTGGGTACCCTAAAGGTTGGCAGAGCTCAGCTGGGTCATATGGGACGTCCAGGAGGGTCCTGTTGAAAGTTGTTGGCTGAATCTTTACCAACCTTGTGGGTCAGTAATTAAATACAGCCTTTCTTCCAAAAAAGAAAGAAAAGCGAAAAGAAAGAAAAATTATTCTGTGTGTATAGGTGTTTTGCCTGCTTGTGTGTCTGTCTCTCTCTCTCTCTCTCTCTCTCTCTCTCTCTGTGTGTGTGTGTGTGTGTGTGTGTGTGTGTGTGTGTATACATACATATATATTTGCACTGTGCCCTCAGAGGCCAGAAAAGGGCATTGGATGCTCTGGAGCTGGGGTTACAGGCAGTTGTGAGCTGTCTAAATGGGTTCTGGGAACCAAACCCAATCCTCTGCAAGAGCAACAAATGTTCTTACCTGCTGAGACATCTCTCAGCCCTCTTCTTATTCTTCTTCCTCCTCCTCCTCTTCTTCTTTTCGGGATAGGGTCTCATGTAACCTAGGCTGACTCTGAGCTCAGTATGTAGCAAAGGATGACTTTGAACTTCTGATACCCCTGCTTCTTCCTCCCAAGTGGTTGGATTACAGACATTTGCCACCAAGTGTGTTATATGTGGTACTGGGGCTCAAGCACAATGTTCCATGAGCTAGGCAAGTACTCTCCCAACTGAGCTATGTCTCCAGCCCTCTAAACATAGCAAAATGGAATTATAGGTGCAGCAGCACACATCTGTAATCCCAGTACTTAGGAGGTAGTGGGAGAAGGATCAGGAGTTCAAAAATAGCCTGGGTTACATGAGACCTTGTCTTAAACAACTAAACCCCCCAAATTACATTATATAAATGTACAATTGAATAATTATTTAAAAACAAAGACGGTATGGAGAAGTGCTTCAACACAACACCAGCGAAACTGTCAAAACTGGCCAGTGAGTTGGCTCAGCAGGTAAGAACTTGCTGCTAAGTGTGACCACCTACATTCAGTCCCTGTGCCTCACATGGTAGAAGGAGAAAACTAACTGAATAAGTTGTCCTCTGATTCCCCCACGTGTGCTGTAGCATGTGTGCTGTAATGTGTGTGTGCTACCCTCCACTTAAATATACAATAAAACAACAACAACAAACCTTTTTGTTAGGCAGTGGTGGCACCTTTAATCCCAGTACTTTGGGGGCAGAGGCAGGTGGATCTCAGTGAGGTTTTTTTTATTTATTTATTATGTGTACAACATTCTGCTTCCCACACATCAGAAGAGGGCGCCAGATCTCATTACAGATGGTTGTGAGCCATCATGTGGTTGTTGGGAATTGAACTCAGGACCTCTGGAAGAGCAGTCAGTGCTCTTAACCTCTGAGCCATCTCTCCAGCCCCGATCTCAGTGAGTTTGAGGCTAGCCTGGTCTACCAAGTGAGTTCCAGGACTGTTACACATAGAAACCCTGTCTCGAAAAAACAAAAGAAAAAAGAAAAAGAAAGAAAATGATGATAGGGGCTCAGTGGTTGCTCTTCTGGAGGACCCAGCTTCAATTCCCAGTACCCACATGGCAGCTCACAACTGTAAATTTTGACAACCTCATACAGACATACCTGCAAGCAAAACACCATGTACTTAATACAAATAAATTATTAAAAAGACATACAGAAAAATGATGATGCCAGGGATGTAGCTTAGTTGTCAGAGTGCTTGCCCAGAATGCACAGAGCCCTGTGGTCCATCCTTAGCACTACATAGAAACTACATAGAATTGGTGTCGGTGTACACACACACACACACACACACACGCACGCACGCACGCACGCACACGCGAGCACCTATAATCCCAGCATTCAGGAAATGGAGCAGGAGGATCAGAAGTTCAAGGTCATCTTTGGTTACCCAGTGAGTTTGAGGCCACCATAATGTACATGAGATCCTGTCTCAAAACAAAACACTGACAGCTATATGTTTGGAGGTCCCCCAAAAGGTGTATTCCTAAAAACTGTTATCATTGGATCTACCTGGCGTCTTCATAGAAAAGTACAGATTTCAGGGTTTGCTTGCTTGCCTGCTTGCTTGATTGGTTGGTTGGTTGGTTAGTTGGTTGACTGATTTTTCCAGACTGTCCAATTAGGGTTTTTTCATTCATTCATTCATTCATTCATTCATTCATTGATACAGTTTCTCTGTGTAATAATCCGGGCTGTCTTGGAACTATATTTGTTGATCAAGCTGGCCTGGGTGTTGGGATTAAAGGTGTGCATCCCACTGCCCGGTCTTTTAAAAATTTGTGATTATATTTATTTATTTGTTTTCTGTGTCATGGTATAAATATATTTGTGCCGTGTGGAGGTCAAAGCACAACTTGGGGTCAGGATTTTCCCTCTGCCATTCTCCTGGAGCAAGCCTGGGTCCTTAGGAGTGGGGCCTTTTTAACCACTTCTACCATCCCTAAGACCTGCTCTTCATTTCTCATCCCTGGCTCATGAGACTGCCCAAGCAGGAGGTGAAGACTAAGGCAGAGGGGCTTTGGATGCAGGCCCCGATGAGCTCAAGTACTCAGAAGACTGAGGCAGGAGGATCACACGTTTGAGGCTAGCTTGGACTACATAGCAAGACTCTGTCTACAAAAACAACAAAATAAACAGAAACATTGGCCGGGCACTCAGGCGAATCTTTTTTTTTTTTTAAAAGAAAGCATTTTTTTTTCAAACTTTTTTTTTTATTTATTTACTTAACTTTATTATGTTTGTTGGTGTGAAGGTGTCAGATCTCATGGAACTGCATTTTCAGACAGTTGTGAGCTGCCATGTGGGTGCTGGGAATCGAACCCGGGTCCTCTGGAAGAGCAGTCAGTGCTCT